CGCTCTGAGTCGAGAGCTCAGTCGTCAGGTGGGACCCTCTAATTAAGAAGGGGTACCTGGGTCTTCTGACATGGTCTATTTTAGTGGTTTGGTAATCTTGTTGCCCCCTCTGATTGGCATGCCCTATGGTTGAATGAAGCTTTTGCTAAATATATGGAGTACTTCCTGTTGCAGAAGTTATTCGATGGAAATATTGATGCGGTAAGCTCTTGCAGATCTGCTTTAGATTTGCTTTACTATATAATATTCACTTTTTATAATTTTTTTAAATAACTGTATTTCTAAGCACCTTTCTTCAAATTGTTGAAAATCACACCAATAAACTGTGATGTTTAGCATAGGCTCAGAAAAATGTCGAGTTAGAGAACGTATATATCATCAATAAGCATGTAAATAATAAATAAACAAGTACAGCGGCCGCAGACACGCGCCGCGGCCGTCGCGCGTACGCTCGCGACGCTAAAGGTCATGAAAGAGCTTAGATTGTGGTGAGGCGTACACATCAGTCCAGCGCGATCAGGATGATCTGACGCACACATATATTTCTCGGCTCGTGTAAATAAGTTGCCATCTAGGTAAATAAATAAATAAATAAATAAATAAATAAATAGATAAATAAACATGAACGAAATCGCAAGCGGCTACTAATTTACTATCGACCAGTAGCAGCAGATCACCGCTGGCAGCTAGCTAGAACAGGCGATCAGCTGATTACCGCCAGCTGCTATTGGCTGACGCCAATTAGTAATCGCCTGCCACGCGCCGCTCGAGAGCTTCGCAGTGCGGCTGCTGTTTTGGGAAGAACAGAAGGCTTTTGTCGAATGAAATGAGGACTGCTCCTTGTGCTCACTGGCTTAGTTGGTAACACGCTAGGCTGGCAAAGTCGACGTTGAAGGTTCGATTCCTTTGATGGGCAATTAGTTTCTTATCAGAGGCTTGCCACAGTTCCACTTTTGTTTATGCTGTCGTTCGTAAATAAATAAATAAATCGATAAATTAATAAATATGCTATTTTTATGACAAGAACAATTTTTTTCTCACAATCATAAAAAATTACAATGAATATTCATTCCAGAAGAACTATCTAACAAGCGAATCCTTGGAAAGAGCTCTAATAGAAGACGCCCGATCCTCTTCCCACCCACTGACCCTCAATATCGAAACCACCGCAGAAGCTCAGGAAATTTTGGACCAGCTGACTGCTGATAAGGTAATGAAGTGTTTTTTTTTGTAATGAAGTGTTTTTTTAACCTCCAGCTTAATTACTGCACTAAGAATTATCCTAAACGTGCTCCGATACTTCGAAGATAACTATTTTTAGGGCGCGGCTCTACTTCGCATGTTTGAGACTGTAGTCGGCGAGAAAACCTTCCAGAAAGGAGTGCAGGTAAATTAAAGAACTGCTTTGATCCACATAAGTAGCATGAGCACTCCGATTCTGGTTTTGTTTCAGAGTTACTTACAAACACATGCCAATGGCAACGCCAATTACACGGACTTCTGGGACGCAATAGATAACGCGATCGGCGGAAAAGTGGGTCTTTCTAGCAACCTTACCATACTGTAGTATGGGTATTTTATGCTGAGAATATTTCAGCTGAAAGCTTGGGACGGAAACAAATTCAAAATGGAGGAGTTCGCGGACAACTGGGTATTGCAGGTAATTTCTGAAATTTTCTATTTATTGGATCTCCAGTAGTTATTTTTAGTAGCTTTTCTACCCCATCACGCAGAAAATTTGTAGTAAAATTCCTAATAGTGTGCAAAAATTGCTGTAAATTTTCCGCAAAACAATTTTTAGAAAAGGTATAGAAAATACCTCATGAAGAGTTTTTTTAAATCCGTCTCAAGAAATATGCTTTCAGATGGGATACCCGGTGGTAGACGTCTATCGACTCGACCCCAAAACGATTGAACTCACCCAGCGAAGATTCAAGGTAAAGTCCTACGGTATCCTGTAGAGTGATAAACGCAGCCTTCTTTAAATAAAGAAGTTAACATTAATATTTACGATTTTACTAGCTTTTTAAGCATAAACAGTTATTTATACAATTAAAAGTACAGCTAAAAATTCCAATCGTAAAAAATCTGGAAATTTATGTCTCTTCAGACTTTTGGAGATGTTTACTTGCAAAAAAGACCCGTATTAGCCTTGCAAAAACATTATATAATTAAATATGGTAGAAGCTTTTCTAACTGCTTACTAGAAGGAGAACAATACACTCTGTTTTCCACGGACTAAGACCAGCGAGGCGGGCGGAAACAGCACGTCGTACGTGTCCAGACTGGTGAAAATTAACGTGGTTCTCACCGTTTTAACCAGTTAGGACACGTGTGGTTGTCTGATTCTGCTCGGGTTGCTGATCCTAGTTCTCGAAAAAGAGTATAGTAGAAGACGAATATAGCAGAATATAATAGGAGGTTCAATTTCCCTTTGTTATCAGCAGAAGCTCACATACAGTCGAGCTGACCAGTCGGTGCAGTGCTGTGCAGTGTTCACTTACACAAATCAGGGAAAAAGGCGTCTCTAGATTAGCTGGAGCGCGAACTGATGGTCAGCCGTTACTGTCAAGAGCTGGTCTTGAGTGGAATTTCGCTCCATGGCTGATTATTTCTGTCGCTGCCTACCTTACAACACTGCGCCTACCGGTCAACTCCACTATAGTATTTACCTACTGGAGAAGGGGCGAAGGAGGAGGGAGGGGCGAGGAAGGAGGGAGGGGAAGGGTGTGAAAAACGAAAAGGGCAGGAAAGTATCGTCGATTTCCCCGACATCGCAATTGGTTTCATCTCGAAAACTGTTCCGAATTGTCATAGTTAGGTCAGTGACGCAGAGGAAGTGACGTCAGACACGTGGAAATGGCGTGCAGTAAAAATATGATACGTAATCACAGCAATCGCGAATGCTGGGAAACTGACGACACTAGGGAGGGACTAGGGTAGATTTTGCTACCAAATTCCTAAAAGTACCTAATACTGGGTACTACTATTTGGGACCCTTTTTTCAAATCTTTTACTAGTGCATAGCCAATCCTAAGATCTCCTTCTAAATATGCAGGAATTTTGCCTCCAGCTTACCTTAATGTTTACTAGTTCTCTATAATTTCAGCTAGATCATCTCACTCCCGAGAGGGCCAGATACCGTAACGCCCTCTACTGGTACAAATGGGATGTTCCACTTTTCTACGAGATTAATGGCAAAAAGGCGGACATGACCTGGCTCCATGAAGGTTCTTTTTCAAGACTTATTTATTCTTAAGAAACTGTCCTATAGAAATTGTTATTTCAGCCGTTCGCCTTCCGCTCAACCTTTCTGACACCTTGCTCATTAATCCAGAATCGCTAGGATACTATCGGGTTAACTATGACGAACAAGGCTGGCTAGCCTTTGCTGATCAGTTGAAAAAGGATCATCAGGTTCCTCTCTTCTCCTTTTATATTCATAAATGTAATTAATTTCGATGAAAACTTGAAATTCTCAGAAATACCCACCATCAGCTCGTGCCAGACTGATCTCCGATGCTTTGGCCCTCGCCGAGGCTGGACTGCTTCCATATGAGGTAAGAGTATTAGAGTGTATTTTTTAAATTCAAAAAGAAGAGTTCTTTCGTCTACAGCAAGCATTTGGAATTGTTGAATACCTACCTCAAGAAACCGACTCTTTGCCATGGGCCATTGCCCTGAGGGGACTGCGCAATCTTTATGAACGGCTATCCAGAAGCGAACTGGAGGAAGATGCTCAGGTGAGGTTTACGAAGTTCAGAGTTTACGAATTCCAGATAAAACTGTTACTTTCTGAGACTTACTGTTCATCATTTTCTGTTCTCGAGCAAAACTTTTCTACTCTAATCGATTTTTATAGAAGTCCAGTCAGATCCTTCAAATTCATTTTAAAATACTGCCAAAATGTATAAAATCTTCTTGCTTATTCATTGCTTCATAATGTTTCGTAACTTCTTTAAATTTTAGGCCTTCGGTCAGATTTTTATTAATTTTGGAAGCTTTTAGCCTAATACAAACAGTTTTCTCATTATTATATTTATTCTCCTTCTTGATGATCTCGTCCTGGTTAAAATTAAGCAAATAAACGCTTCTATCGATCAGTACGGGTAATTTTTGAAGTAATTTTTGCTCTTTGGTAAGAAATATTTTAAAAAATACTCGTCTACCTCCAGATTATGAGCTTGGGCTTTTACTGTGACCTAAAATCTTTGAAAGAACTACATAACCCTGGGCAATATTGTCTACCTAGCATTTTTTGAGCATATATTTGTTTTTTTATACTTAATTAATCCCTTTTCAGAAATTCGTCGTTGAAAAGATGGCGGAGATTTTCAAGTCACTAGATCTGGATAACTTGAGTGCGCCAAGTGAGGGACAGTTCGTAGA